TTAGTGGATTATTATAGCATTGAATTCAACATCGCTCCAGTCCATGTTGAGATTTCGATGAAACAGTTTAGTTACTGCGTCACACATGTTTCCTCTACATTAATGTAAACATGAGGAAGACATGAGGCGGTGAAGCATCCAAAGAGTCCGCCGTGGTTTTAATTTGAACTTCACATATAACTGAATCTGTGATGCACCGCTAATATCTGCTAAAGCTCCGTTTAATCCATATCACATTAATGTTTTGCTGCCCGTGCCATTACGTCTCCGAGCATCTGACAACGGGGTTGTGTGTGTGTGTGTGTGTGTGTGTGTGTGTGTGTGTGTGTGTGTGTGTGTGTGTGTGTGTGTGTGTGGGTATGCCAGGATTTCTCTAGAAAAGGTTAATGCTCTCAGAAGAGGCATTATGTATCCATGTAGCTTTTAACTTAGATTAACACACAGCGCATGTGTGTGTGTGTGTGTGTGTGTGTGTGTGTGTGTGTGTGTGTGTGTGTGTGTGTGTGTGTGTGTGTGTATCCTGAGTGACTAAACTACAGCTTACATCAGAGGGAAGTCGAGTGAAAGAGAGTAAATTGACCCTAGTGTTAGCTTCACAGCAGCAAATATAATATGTCAACAGAGTGCGCACTTAGCTTCATATCATACCGTAAATAATTCAACACTAAAGGAATACGTCACCCACAAAATCACCATCTCAGTTACTTTACTCACCCCGTACAACCTAGAAATCTTAAAGGAAACACTTTGTTCTTGCATTCCTCCAAACATCCTAAAACAGAGAAGAGTCTGGATGAGTGGAAGTACATGTGGCCGCGTTTAACAACAGCAAACTATATCTGAAATATTGCTCTTTGCAAAAGTAAATGATATCATTATTATTATTAAAGGGGAAGAATGTAAATGTTTAGGTCCATACTTGTATTTTGGGTTTATTCACCCTTTGCCTGAAACGCTCCATTCTTTTTAAGCTCTCCTTCAGAAAAAAGCTCTGATTGTCCGAGTGTTTCTGAGTCTTTCTGCACTTTCTACTTCTAACATAACAACTTGTAGAAAACAAAGGACGTTTCTGAAATCAGGCTGTGAGCATTTCTGTATGCATGGAGCACTTCAATACTTTTACTGTATTTGTATGGCACCTCGACCTTCTTAATATTGAATTAAAAGCCTTGAAATCCAACTTTTATCAACACAATCTGTTAAAACATCATATTAAAACCAGAAAAACTCATTAAAGAGAGGCATAATTTGTTCTTATTGTTGTTGTTTGTCATTAAGAGTTATCTGTTTCTTGCAGTGCATAGCGACTCCAGGACAGGGCTTTCGTCTGGGTCAGTACTGCTGCCGCTGCAGAGACGGATACTACGACCCCGAGACCATCCCTCAGGACTCAGGTGAGACTCTACCTGAGAGAGGATCTCTGTACCGTTTACTGTCCTCTAAACTCCACATACACCACTTCATTTAAATATATATATATATATATACGATTGAGTATTTTCCTTTCATTTCATTAAGAGTTATTGACTTATTTTATATTCTGCACATCTTTCATTAATGATGATTAATCCCTGTTTTCATATATGTCTAACTTATATTTTTTATTTGATGTTTGCAATTAATAAATGAATAAAAAATAAATGAGATATTCATTATATACATGTAAAGCATTGTTGTGTATGTTTAAAAAAGCAAAAATAAATAAATAAATTGGAGAGTAAATTACTTAAAGGTGGGTTAGGTAATTCACTTCAGAAACACTTTTTGTTATATTCCATGGAATGCTCTTAACATCCCGATAGCAATGAATATATTAAATGCTTTGACAAAAAATCCATAAAACATGTCATCTGTGGAAGCTGTAGTACTGTCAAAAGCACGACCAATCATCTGAGCCGGCCCGGCTAAAATAACTGGATGGCCTACCTGCCTGTCAGCCTTCCATCTGTGCACAAACTTATCTCGTGCCCTCATTGGTCATGTGCGCGTTTGTGTGTGTTGGAGGAGGGGCTCTATAAGGAAGTCTGAAGGAAGGGGCAGATTCTTTCCGGTTGTGTACTTTCAAATTCTAGCGCACTCGAGCTGGTTCCTCCATTCTTACCCACCCTACCTTTTAAATGATTTAATAAATACACTTAAAATGAATATTGAAACGTGTAAATGTATCAATAGTTATATAAAATAAATGAATAAAAAAATAAATGTATATATTTCATGTCTTATTTAATAATTTGTCCTTTATTTAGGCATTTAGTTATATCATTAATGATGTATTTTTACATTCACGATTCTACAATCATCGAGCATGACACTGTGGATAAACAAATGATATATACTATATAGGTTTAAAAAAAGCAAAAATACACAAATAAAATGGAGAATGTTAGGGAATCATTTTCCCTAGTGTCCTCTTTCCCCCTCTGACACAGATGCTCCAACCTTGAGCAGCCGCTATCTCCCATAAGGAGGGGCTGCCCTAGCAAGTTGTTGTTGTTACCAGTTTATGACCGGGCAACTCTCGCTCAGAGATAGTTATTGTTGTGGGACACCTGGAACACATCCTTCTCGGGGTGTAGATGACCTCGAGCCATAAGCGACAACAAATGTGATTCAGTGTCCTCAGCTGTTCAGTCTACCTATTGAAGAATGTTGATTATTACACTCTGAACTAGTTAAAACCTGGAACTACAGGAGGGGTCTTCAGAATTGATTGTGGCATCTCAACCGTGTGGTCAAACCGTGGCCCGTGACATGTCTTGTGAATTCTCCGACCGAAGCTCCAAATAAACCGTCAGTGTTTGCCATCAAAGCTCCAGCTCTCCCCGTGTCTCTCTGAAGTCCTGACTCCAATTGCTTCAGAAGTTTCCCCCACAAAATACATTAATAATTGAATAAATATATTCATATTCAAATGATTATTGATAATAAGGGAATTTAATCGTATTTTTTGTCTCGCCTCTTTATCTATACATTTAGGATGCTACATTTTCATGGAGCATGACCAGACTTAGAAGCATCTTTTAAGTGATTTTTTACTTTTAAAACCAATATATTTCCACTGTCTGGTTTCAGTTCATGTTTAGGAGGTGTTGGTGTCACATGTAACCGAGTCGTCCCGTGTGTGTGTGTGCGTGTGCGTGTGCGTGTGCGTGTGCGCGTGCGTGTGCGTGTGTGTGTGTGTGGGTGCAGATGGCGGCTCTGTGAACAGCAATGATGAAGGTGTGTGTTACCCCGACCTGCCCGTCAGCTTGCTCTGCTATTTTTAGGACTTGTTCAGCCTTTTTTGCCCATAAAATCAAATCAACGTAACCAGTATTAAGTCACTTTATACTTTGGTTCTCTGTCCTTTCATTTTCTTTTCCTTGCAAAGTCATAAAACTAACATTCCTTTGGTGAATTAAAGTGGACCTATCATGCTATATTTAAATGATATATTGTAGGGCCATACCTATATAAGGTATATTTATACGTTTCTGTTTTCGAAATACCAAACAGATCATGCATTTTGGCCATGCCTCATTTCGCTCTATGTGCTGTTTGCTGTCTACGGGTCTGATTCTGCTGACCACGCCCCCCTGCAGGAGAGGGGAGACGTGCTCTGATCAGCTGCTGGGCTGTCAGAAGAGGGGGAGAAAAAGAGATCTCCGTCCTCCGTGTTTTATTATATAGAGTCGTTATTCATTTGTTTTAAAGCTCAATAAATAACAAAGAAGACCTTTGACCGGCACTTTTCTAATTTTGACCGGAAGATTTAAACTTTAACGGACATCTTGACCGGCGAAAGTAACTGAAACTGAAACTCTGCCGCACGGTCCCCTCGTTCCTTGGAAGAGGCGGAGAGGTGGGTGTTTGTCATCTGCTGGTGGACTAACCGGAGAGAATTACAGCGCTTGCCTCGACGGGGAGGGATTGCATTGAATTAAAGCAGCGGGAGCAAACGCTTGCCTCGGGGAGGGAGAAAGAAAGCCACAGCGGAGAATAAACAGAAGGGTAACCATGGTAACCAAGTCCTCTTCGCTGCTTTTGTGGCAGACTACAGCGCCACTTACAGGCCTGGCATATGTACTACAGCGTCTCCAGCACTTTCGAGCGGCAATGGCCGGCCGTGGCCCAACCCCACATTCCCCTGATAGGTGGAGAGTTGGCCCAATAGCCGTAGCGCCACCGTCCTGACGTCAGGACAGTGTTCAAATCTGGATCAGTTTTTATCAGATCCGTTGCAGCCCCTTTTTTAGAGATTTGGGTATGGAGGAAAATAGAGAGGGTTGTGTTTTCTGACACTTGGTGAGTTCCCTGGAACACCGGGGACACATATTCATGTAGAAAAGACGTACAAAAGTGCATTTTGCATGATAGGTCCCCTTTAAGTTAAATATTTGCTTGACTTATTACATTTTTTGCTATATTTTCAAAGAGCATTACTAGACTTTGAAGTTATTTTTTATTTGTAGAGCCGATATATTTCGAGTCGTCCCGTGTGTGTGTGTGTGTGTGTGTGTGTGTGTGTGTGTGTGTGTGTGTGTGTGTGTGTGTGTGTGTGTGCAGATGGCGGCTCTATGAACAGCAGCAGTGAAGGTGTGTGTTACCCCGACCTGCCCGTGTGCCTGCCCTGCTGGCCGGGGTGCAGCAGCTGCCGGGACGGGACCCCCTGCCGGGTGCAGGAGGGGGGGGTGCTGCGGGGCGCCGTGCTCACCCTGCAGGGGGTCTTCATGATCCTCATCTTCGTCAGCATGCTGGTGGCCTACAGGCATCGCAGGAGCCGGGTAATGTATCATTTCTACTTTCTTGTTTATTTCTAGTCTTTACATTTTGATTGTGCAATGCCGTGTCTTTTGATGCTGCTGCAACACAAACATTTCCCACATTGGGATCAATAAAGTACATCTTATCTGATCTTATCCCCGGGACCACCGTCCTGAGAGGGGAGTGCAGGGAGGAGAGCTGTGACAAGACTCATTCTGTCAGACATGTGTTGATGAAGCAGAAATGTCTCTTATTATTATTGTTTTATAAAGTAGTATACATATGGAGCTAGTTGTCTCACCTCTGCTGATTGGTTGGCTTTTATAGCACGACAATACCCCTGTAAAGTATTTTATTCTTTGTCCTTTATGCTCTTATAACTTTCTAACATTATTTGTATTTCCTCGTCCCCTCAGAGGATCCGGGCGTCCGGCCTCCTGCTCCTCGAGACCATCCTGTTCGGCTCGCTGCTGCTCTACTTCCCGGTGAGCGTCACAGATTAAAACACTTTACAGATCACTGCACAGCACCGCGGATTATTTATAATGGACCATGCTGATGGGGTGGGGGCGTAACTGTGTGTGTGTGTGTGTGTGTGTGTGTGTGTGTGTGTGTGTGTGTGTGTGTGTGTGTGTGTGTGTGTGTGTGTGTGTGTGTGTGTGTGTGTGTGTGTGTGTGTGTGTGTGTGTGTGTGTGTGTGTGTGTGTGTGTGTGTGTGGCCTAGCATTACTATACTTGTGGGGACCTACATCTGTTTACACAGTCTCGTGTGGGGACTCGCCTCCCTTATGGGGACACAAGGGAGGTCCCCATAAGGGGAATCATTAATTTTAGGGTGAAGACTTGGTTATGGTTAAGGTTAGGATAAGTCTCCAGGAAATGCATGTAAGTCAATGTAATGTCCCCTGAAGTGATGTATATGTGTGTGTGTGTGTGTGTGTGTGTGTGTGTGTGTGTGTGTGTGTGTGTGTGTGTGTGTGTGTGTGTGTGTGTGTGTGTGTGTGTGTGTGTGTGCGTGCGTGCGTGCGTGCGTGCGTGCGTGCGTGCGTGCGTGCGTGCGTGCGTGCGTGCGTGCGTGCGTGCGTGCGTGGTTATTGATCATTGATATAGTCAAACATGTGAGTGTGAACATAATAATGGGAGGCTCTCATGGCTCTTTTACTCCTGTGCAAAGTTTTCATAAGCACGCAAAAAATGAATAAACCAGACAAAACAAATATGTTCTGTCTGGTTTTCAGATTTGCTTCAGTTCCCTTTGCATAGGAGAAATGTCTTTTAGTTTGTTTAGAACAAATTAGAGCTGTTTTTGCATGAGCAGCAATGACTGAACAGATTTAAAAATAAAACCTGTATGTATAATGTTGCTGACACAGGATTTCCGAGGCTTTGATATGAAGATTGTACGTGTATTTGAATGCAGTGTGTGGCATAAAGGCTGGTGCAAAATAGGAATCAGAAAAATAAATATTCAGCATGAATTCATAGATAAAATGGGTCAAAATGGGAGGCAAACAAAAAAATACAATTAGTACATTTGACGGCAAAGGGATTTATTGGACTGAAGGCATACAAAATAACGACAGTAACATAAGCGTAAATATAGAATATTTTGCACTGAGGTTTAATCCATTAATCCATATATACCCTACAGTATTGTAAAATAGGACAGAAGGTGTGTGTGTGTGTGTGTGTGCGTGCGTGCGTGCGTGCGTGCATGCGTGCGTGCGCGCGCGTGGAGAAATTCAAAGGTAGATTGCAGCCCACATACCTGACTGTAGATGTGAAAGTCTCAGATGAAAGGTCAGAGGTCGCTCTCTCATCTCAGTGGGGGGGTTGCTGTGCCCGGGGTTTATTTCATCTACAAACAGAAACAGATCTGCAGGGCGAGATGGATCTGTGCTGCAAAGTGCAAAATGCAAGATTTATTGAAACTGATTGTAATGATAAATAGAATCGTAGGTAGGTAGGTAGGTAGGTAGGTAGGTAGGTAGGTAGGTAGGTAGGTAGGTAGGTAGGTAGGTAGGTAGGTAGGACGGTAGGTTGTTAGGACGGTAGTTAGGTAGGACGGTAGTTAGGTAGGTAGGTAGGTTGTTAGGTCGGTCGGTCGGTCGGTCGGTCGGTCGGTCGGTCGGTCGGTCGGTCGGTCGGTCGGTCGGTCGGTCGGTCGGTCGGTCGGTCGGTAGGTAGGTAGGTAGGTAGGTAGGTAGGTAGGTAGGTAGGTAGGTAGGTAGGTAGGTAGGTAGGTAGGTAGGTAGGTAGGTAGCCGGCCGGTCGGTCGGTCGGTCGGTCGGTAGGTAGGTAGGTTTATAGTTAAAACTATAAACCAAAGTATTGGACACATACAACTTTTACCAGATGCTGCAAAAGGATAAACTATTATATTTGAAACATCTTCCTGAGAGGACATTCATTTTGTGATCCAACAAGTGCGGAGCCATTTTCTCCGAAACCTCCACTTTAGGATGGCGCTAAAGAAAAGAGGGTTCATGTGGTTGATAAAAAGCAGCAGGACATTTTATGACACTGCGATCCTAGCCTTATATCGACCAATCAGATTACCCCTCGCTCTATAACCAAAGCACAAATCTGCCTCTGAGCGCGGGCCATTTCTGCTGATTAAAAAGCGCCTTCCTCCACATGCCCGGCACTTCGGACTCTATATGTGTTCACTGTGAGTGGGTTTATCCCGTATGAGTGGTGGGAAACACACAGAGGACATTTGCATTCACATTTCAGGCTTTGGCTGATGCTCTTATCAAGAGTGACGGAGACTGTCTGTCAGCCTAGGAAGAGATTTAATTCCTGGATTACAGTCATCCTCTCTGCTGCTACACACCGAGCGGAAAACCTGTTGTTTAATGGGGAAAAAAACACATTTAGTTCAGGGCATCATGTCTCTTTTCATTTTCTATCAACGCTCATGATGCACATTATTAAGTGTCTGTCTGTTGATATGCAATGAGACAATAATACCATCAATAGTTATGGCAGTAGATGTCAAATGAAGTATTAATAGCACCATGATTTGCAGTATTAGTAGTTTTATTACTACTAGTATTTGTCAGTGGTGTATTCAGATACATGTCTGTTGATTGTGTATATAGGATATACATATTTTATGCATATTTTTATACATATCTGTATTATTGTATAATTTTACATTCAGGATTGTTGGAAATTTTGATCTCTCTGTCTGTAAACACAAACTGAGTAAGATTGACATTGAAGTTGACTTTGACTTTGACAGATGCTTGAAGTAATATTACAGGGTTTTTTAAATAATGCTACTTATTTTTTTTAACAAAGTGTACCGTTTCTTGCTTATTTGTTTATATATATTTTTAGTAACGTGTGATTTCCTTTTATTTAATATATAAGTGTAATTCCCCGCTGCAGGACAAATAAAGGATTTCTGATTTATTAAGTAAAAATGTCCTGCATTGAAAGTGTTACCTGAGTAAAAGTATGAAACTGTCATTAAAGAAAATATTCCTAAAGTATTAAAACGTATGAATAATAATAATAATAATGTTCCCTGTGACTGTGATACTCTTAAATAAATGATTAATATTACTCTTGATTTTCAGTAAAAGCACGATAAAGGTTTTTTAGTTTGTTCAGGACTGACTATTTCAATTATCGATCAATCCGTTTATTATTTTCTACATTAATTGATGGATTATTTGGTCTGTAAAGTTTGTGATTTGAGATATTTGGCAATATAAACACTATTGACTCGACTTAATAGATACTTGTTTGGCACCATGTATAGCAATAGAAGCATTCATACCTGTTGCTATTACTTGTACACCACTAGTGATAGCATTATAACAAGTTTATAGTATTACTGTGGTACTATACTGTAGTTGGACTCACAGTGATGTCTTTGTCTCTTCAGGTGTTCATCATGTACTTCAAGCCGAGTACCTTCAGGTGTATTCTGCTCCGCTGGGTCCGGATGCTCGGCTTCTCCATCGTCTACGGGACCGTCACTCTGAAGATGTACAGGTAGGTTTCAGGCTTTTCATTTTCCATCCTAATTCCATCCGAAGTACAGGTAGTTCAATAATTCACCTGCTTATTAAATCACTCTGTGTTCGGATCACAGTCTGAATTTAACAGATAGATTTTGTTACGACTGGTTTATGAATCACTCAATAATCTTGTTCCAAAAAACATTTCTGGACTCCCCGATGAGCAAGCAGCAGCATGTTGAGAAGGCATTGCACAAACAATTAAATAATCATTAAATATACAATTTTAAACTGTAAAAATATTTATATCTTTGGAATACACAAACACGATATACAGTAAATGTGCTATTAAAGGTGGGGTAGGTAAGTTTGAGAAACCGGCTCGAGATCGCTAGAATTTGAAATAACACAACCGGAGAAAATCTGCCACTTCCTTACAGAGCCCCTCCTCCAACACACACGAACGCGCACATGACCAATGAGGACACGAGATAAGTTTGTGCACAGATGGAAGGCTGACAGGCAGGTAGGCCATCCAGTTATTTTAGCCGAGCCGGCTAAAGTGATTGGTCGTGCTTTTTACAGTACCACGGCTTCCACAGATGACATTTTTTTATGGATTTTTTGTCAAAGCACTTAAGATATTCATTGCTATCGGGATGTTAAGAGCATTCCATGGAATATAACAAAAAGTGTATCTCGAGCCGGTTTCTCAAACGTACCTACCCCACCTGTAATCTATACATACGTATATAGACTCCTGCATTTACTTGTGCACAACATTCTCTTCAACATTTAGCTTCTTGTATTAATTTTTCATCTACATTACTTGCACATTGGTCTTTCAAGATAATCTTGTTTCTTATTGCACTATTTTATTGTTTTATAAGATTTTCCTTGAGGTAGCTACACCTTTACTTGTATTAAACATATTTGACTTCTTCCCTACAGGGTGCTGAAGGTGTTCCTCTCTCGCACGGCGCAGAGAGTGCCCTACCTGTCCAGCCTGTACCTGCTGAGGATCCTGGGCGTGATGCTGCTGACGGTCAGCTGGTTCCTGTGTGCGTGGACCGTGGGCGTCCTGCAGAACCGAGACAGGAACATCCCTGTGTACATCACCACCAACACGTCTGACGGGCAGGGCTTCAACCTGTGCTTCATGGACCGCTGGGACTACATGATGGCCGTGGGTGAGTGAAGACGAGCCATCATTTATTTGTTTTTGTTTAAAAAGGAACCAAAAGGGACACATTTTAAAGGTCACCTATTAAGCACAATCCACTTTTAAACATAACCATGTGTCCCCTCTGTGTAAAGAGACTCTGAAAGTTTCAGGAACAAAGATTCTCTCTCTTTTTGTCCTGACCCATTTACATAAAAACCTGTCTGAAAATGAGCTGATCAGATTTTGGCCACTTTATGATGTCATAACGATGTGTTGGCTTGTGTAACCATTAGCCAATCACCAACCAAGGTAACCCCACCCCCCATCTTATCACCTGAATCTCCTCCTAGAGCACCATTGTGTTCTTTTTAACCAAATATCTCTCAGAGGGGCGTGGGGAGGGGCTCCTTATTTTCATCTAAAGTAACAGACAGAGAATCAGCACTTTTGAAACAGGGCTGAAACAGAGGGGATTATGGGATGCTGCAATGATCTGTTTGGTGTTTCAAACACTTCAGAGACATGTTTTGTATATATCTGAGACCTATAAAATATTGATGAAAAACAGTATAATAGGGGACCTTTAAGTCATGTTGTGAAACCATCTCAAATAGTCATATTCCCTCATTGCAAAAAGGACAGCTATATCAATTACTGTATTTGCAAAAGTTGAACCATGAAACTACGTGAAAAAGGGCAGTTTACATATTTTCCTATATCTTAACTTCTGCACTATTTTGTGTTTTAGGACTTATATCTTCGATTCTCATTTTTACTACGTGTTTGTATTTGATACATTTTGTAGTTGTGTTAGTAGAGGGACCTTAAAGACAAAGAACTTAATTTCCAACAACTTCTCTACTGTTATAACTTTGCATATGACATATACGACACATATGATCTGCCCATGCACATCAGACAAGCCTCCACACTGTCTGTTTTTAAATGGCTTCTGAAAACCCACCTCTTCTTCTTAGCGTCTTGACATCTTGTAGATTGTTGCTTTTAAATTGTCTATTGTTTTTACTTGTACTTGTGTTATGGTGTGTGAGCTGTGCTGTGTGATTTGTATATGTTTTGTTTGTTTATTTGACTGTACAGCACTTTGGTCTGGAGGTTTCAAAGTGCTTTATAAATAAAGCTGTATTGTATTGTACTGTATATAAAGACTTGAAACGTATTGGACTGAAAACTAACTCAAAACTGCACTATTTAATAATCATGTCCTTACGTTGTCTTGCCTCAGCGGAGCTCCTGTTCCTGTGCTGGGGAAGCTCTCTGTGGACCGCCGTCAGACCGGTTCCCTCCGCTTTCCACGAGCCGCGTTACATGGGCATCGCCATCCACAACGAGCTGCTCCTCTCCTCCATGTTTTACCTGTTCAGGTAAACAGCGAAATACTCTGGTAAAAGTAGAAGTACTGACTAAACTTCTTTACTCAAGTAAAAGTAAAGAGAGCTTTGAAATGTACTTCAGTAAAAAGTACCCATAACTAGCAGCTGTTTTAAAGAGTACCTGACCTCCCTTTATATTAATAGAACAATAATGTCATTGTTAGCTAATGAATGTTTCCATGCTGAACAACGGCAACATGACAACGTTTTCATTGGTCCCTCTTCTTTAGAGAAGACCAGGAAATGATGGATACACGGATCGTGTTCAAATCAATAGGCACGCAATGACTCTAAATAATAATGATCACGCCACCAAACACACATTCAAACTAAAGGAACCAGCCTGTTTGGAAAATGTAAGAAGTAGAAAGTACAGGTATTTGTGTTCAACCTGTAAGAAGTAGAAAGTACAGGTATTTGTGTTCAAAATGTAAGAAGTAGAAAGTTCAGGTATTTGTGTTCAAAATGTAAGAAAAGTAAAAAGTCGTCAGAAAAATAAGTAGTGGAGTAAAGTACTGATACCAGAAACATGTACTTACTGTAAGTACAGTAACGAAATACTTGTACTCCACTACTTCCCACCTCTGCTCCTCACCTGTTGAATTCCCTCCACAGACCACCGACTCCTTTAAGAAGGGCCTAAAAATCTTTCTTTTAAAAAAAGCCTTTGATTAAGATTGTGTGTGTTTGTTTTTTTTAAAGTATATAATGCCCCTTGTAGCACTTTGAGATTACTTTTCGCAATGAAAGGTGCTTTACAAATAACATGTATTATTATGATTATTATTATTATCAACACTCGCTGCGTATTTGTGCAATTCACAGAAAAAACATCTAGCACTGATGTGACAATTAGTCATTTTGTGTTTTCTGTCTCCCTCAGGTTTACCTTTTCCTCTCTGCATCCTGATTGGATGTTGCTGCTCTCCTTCACGCATACCCATGTGACCATCACTGTGACACTTGCCCTGCTTTTCATTCCCAAGGTACGCCAACAAATGGTATAGTCTAATATCAGAAATTTGCAAAATGGAAGAAACCTCAGGAATGTCCAACGTGCAAATCAGATCCATTTTTTAATAAAATCAAATATATATATATATATAAATATATATCAAATATCCCACATTTGCCTCAAAAGGGATTCTCAATCTGTACGGCATACCTACAGATACCCCTTGTCAATACTACCCCTGCTTTTGAAAAGGAAAAGTTAATACAGTTTAAAAGGGGTTGGAGGTGGCGGCAAAAATGGAAGAAACCATGGAAAGAAAAACTTGTACTCAGGTACTTTCCACCACTGCTGTTAATCCCGTTTGAATTGTATGCATTTCGAATATATTTGCAATACTTTATGAGAATCAATCCACTACTTGTAGAGAAATGTCACTGGTACTTAAGTGTATTTGAATGTGCATGACTACACACAATGTTTTTCATATGTGAAATGTTTACATGCGAGTTGTATGTCTGTGTGCGTTGCAGTTTCTCTATGTGTCTAAGCCGGGGAGAGAGGAGATTGCAGCGGAGGTTTATGAAGATGAAGTCGACCTGCGGCGCTCCGGCTCGTACCTCAACAGCAGTTTTCACTCTGCTTGGAGTGAACACAGTGGAGTGGACCCGGATGACTTCAGGGTAAACTCTTTTTTCCCCTCAGAACGATGTTATCACTTTGCATATGGACATAATCTCCAAAATGGGGAGGAAATTCAAAAGGTCACGTTTAAATAAGTAATAAATATCCCTTAATTTCAGTTAGGACCACATATAGACCCACTTAAACATATTTTAAATGTATTATAACTCAAATCATAAATGCAATAAGCAGCAGAATGAACACATGTGACCTTTCTCCACCCTTTATCCTTATCCTAAACCGTGTTGTTCTTACATGAAAACGTGTTTGGTACCTCTCCTCTGACTTGTTACTCTCCACATCTTTTCCTCTCCTCAACCATTTCCTCAATCCCTTCATCATTTCCCTCCCTTCTTCATATGCACCAGGATGAACTGAAGAAGTTATATGCCCAGTTAGAAGTCCACAAGACCAAGAAGATGACGGCAAACAACCCTCATCTGTCAAAGAAGCGAAGTTCTCGATGCGCATTAGGAAGATCTATCATTAAACGCATTGCTGAGATCCCAGAAAGCATGAGCCGACGGTGCAGCCGCGACGACAGAGAGGGCTCCCTCCAAAGTAAAAGTGTGAATCAGTCGGAGCCATCCAAAAGAGCTCCAGATTCTGTCACTATCAGCCTCAAAAGTTCAATGAAGTACCCATCACCGTATCCATCACCGTACCCATCACCGTACCCTTCACCATCACCAGCAATGCACAAGTCCCAGAGCGATCATCACTATGGGTGGGAAAGAGACCCTTCCTTGCGTGACTCCATGTTAATGGCCAACGCTTTGAAAAGGACTTCCCGTCAATCAGTGACAGATTCCTTGGATATTCCACTAGGGCTCTGCAAGTCAGCCAGTGCCCAAAATCTGTCAATTGATATCAATCTCTTGCATCCTGATCACTCCAGGCTTCAGAAATCCTGGAGTCTAACTTCCGCTTCGAGGAGTTCAATGGAGAACATCCCCAAGGTTACCAGAGCCAGCACAGTGCTGACACGGTCGGGACAGAGCCTTTCCATCAGTGAACAGACCAGAAGTGCCCTCCAGTCAGGGTCTTTTGACAAGTCTGATGTATGTCCTTGGGAAGAGGAGCAAGAACAGTCAGGGGACAAGAACCAGAAACATGTGACCTACGCAAACTCAATGGAGAGTGAAGACAATGGGGCAACATCTCCAAAAGGGCTCGTCTGTCCCTGGGAGCATTTACCACCTGTAGAGAAGAAGCCTTCAGAAGATAGCGAAACATTTGAAACGGACTACCTAAAACCGCAGGCGTCTGTTTCTGCAAGTGCACCTTGCACTCCGAGACCAAAATTCACAAAAGATCAACGCGTCTTCTCCCTCCGGACCGCCACCTCTAAGTGGCTCTCTGTGAAAACAGCAACAACAAAGTTTGAGGAAGGGAACAAGTCCAGTGTGGATCGAAAATTAAATAAGGAGGACTCTATTTCACTAAAAAGTCATGAAAGTGTTTCTAGTAGACGACCAAGCATGGAAAAGAGGTCACTGCTGAAAAGTATGACAACAGTCAGCAAACCATGCCTTGTCAAGCAGAACGCCATCAGACGTTCCTCTGGGGATTTCGACAGAAACCCAAGAAGGCTCTCAACTGGAAAATGTGCCGTCTACCCTTGGGATATTGATGAAACGCAAAAAGATGGCAATCATGAAAGTGTGATTCTATCAAGGCAGAACAGCAAACGTAGTACCAGTTCTTGGGAGACTGCCAGTAGCTGTAGAACTCCTTCAACTCACAGAAGGGGTAGTAATCGAATTACACCCGTACACAATATTTCCTTTGTAAATGTGTGTCCATGGGAGGGAGATGGTACTTCCCAAGGAGAGGAGGGTCTAAAGAGGCAGCAGACTATTCAAGCAGATGTATGTCCATGGGAATCTCAAGAGGAAGACTATGTGAGAGAACAAGGAAGTGGCAAAAGTGAGGCCTGTCCTTGGGAGACACAGGATATCCCAGTTATTTGTTATACTAACACGTCCAAAGATTTACAAACACAACAGTCTTTGAAACTTGCAGCAGATGTGTGTCCCTGGGAAACTGCAGAAAGCCCCCAACCTTCAATAGGGCAAGAAAGTGAATATGTTAATGTTTGCCCTTGGGATGTTAAGGACAAGGCTGAAGTTGAATACGAGAACCTAAATCCCTTGGGGACCAGAGGAACGCTGTCTGTGCCCCTTAAACATGACGTTTTTAAACCTGACGTCCATCCCAGTGCATCAACAAAAGGTTATGAAGGGCAACAACTCGCAAAATCAGAAGCCCTGCATTTGGGTGAACAAGTCACCAAGGCAGCAGAAAGTTGTCAGTGGGATTTCCCTGATCCCCCTGAAAACTTTGGAGACCTCTGTCCATGGGAAGAGGGTAATAACACTGATACAACAAATACAGGCTCAGCTACCATCAAGGTAGATATGTGTCCCTGGGAAACAGGAAATCAAGAAGGCTCACAACAAAGAGTCTCACCTTCAATAGCTGCTTCCCTGCAGAGTGAGGAGAAAGATGCCACAAAAGTAAATATATGTCCTTGGGAAACTGACCCCCCACAAACAACTGAAGCTACCAAGATTGTGTCACATGGACTGGAAAGGTCTTCAGATGTTTTTCCATGGGATACAAAGGAATCAGTGGCAGTCAAAACTCAAGAATCAAAAGCCTCAGAGGAACCAAATACCAGGGAAAACGTTTGTCCGTGGGATTCAGGAGAGCCAGAGGTTCTCAACAAGCAAGATACCGTGCCAGCGAATGTTTGTCCATGGGACACAGAAGAGCCAAAGGTTCTACAGAGGCAAGATAGCGTACAGGCAGATGTTTGTCCGTGGGATACGGGAGAGCCAAAGGTTCTACAGAGGCAAGATACAGTTAAGGCAGATGTTTGTCCATGGGATACGGGAGAGCCAAAGGTTCTCAAAAAGCAAGATAGCTTAAAGGCAGATGTTTGTCCGTGGGATACGGGAGAGACAAAGGTTCTACAAAAGCAAGATAGCTTAAAGGCAGATGTTTGTCCGTGGGATACGGGAGAGACAAAGGTTCTCAAAAAGCAAGATAGCTTAAAGGCAGATGTTTGTCCGTGGGATACGGGAGAGACAAAGGTTCTACAAAAGCAAGATAGCTTAAAGGCAGATGTTTGTCCGTGGGATACGGGAGAGACAAAGGTTCTCAACAAGCAAGATACCCTGCCAGCGAATGTTTGTCCATGGGACACAGAAGAGCCAAAGGTTCTACAAAAGCAAGATAGCTTAAAGGCAGATGTTTGTCCGTGGGATACTGAGGAACCAGAAGTTGTCAAAAAGGAAGGCAGCACTGCAGGAGACGTTTGTCCCTTGGAATCTAAGGATACAGAACCCTCCTCCGAAAACAAAGTGGATATTCTCCAAAGTGACCAAGATGAAGTCACAGAGAACCAGAGACAGCTCAGGGTAGAAGAGAACCCACCAGATGTCAGCGGTGAGCAGGTGGACGAGCCAAAAGAGAACCTGGGCCGGCGAGATGCTTTGTGTCCCTGGCAGATGCAAAGGAGCATATCTGGTTCTTTCACAGACAATACCTCAGACGTCTTTACATGGGAGCCTGAAAATATCCCTGAGGAAGATGAAGACGACGATGCAGAATTTGCTGCTGAGGCTCTTGTGTTCCCATCTGACCTGTGAGATCGTGGATCCTCAATGACTTTTTCAGGTACCACAAGGGGAACTTTGTTTTTGAGAACCACAGGGAGGTCAGCTCACAATCAGCTCCCCTGCAGACGGCAGAGCTGAAATCCCTTTCTGTTGGATAAGTACTCAGGCTTATCAACGACAGAATTTAGAGCTGCGTTATTACAGGTCAGAATACCCATTTGGGTCATGCCGCTTTCTGCCTAACAAGCCTTCATAAGCTGGAGACAATTAGTTGTGCAGTGAAATAGTTTTTTTTGTTGTTGCTGAAGTACACATTGCATAATGTCCCTCTTTAAACCAGCAATGAACTACAGACTGGTTGATCGAAGGGCATCTGAGACATTAAGATAGAGTCCCTTTTCTTCCTGCTTCTGATTCCCCACTTTAAATTTAACGTGAACGTTTGTTTAGTTCAAACTAAACAAGTCTCTTGTGCTGGCATTCAAAAATAAAGCGCAAGACGAATGAATCTATTGAGATTACAAATAATTAGCCATTTGATTCAGTCTAATTTTGTTCTTTTGTGGAAATTATATTTTCAAAATAAATGTATTAAGTGTAAATGGTACATTACATGTCTATGACTTATTGAACATTTTTGAAAACTATGCATACTTGTTTGCTTAAGTGACCATTTAAGGACTAAACGCCAATATGTAATGTTTCTCCCTCACTTTTGATTAAGTCAAAAGAATAGGATATAAAGACTTAAATAGACAATAAATACCATAAATTCAAGATATGCTAAACACTCACAGTGGAGCTAACACTGCCTAATTGTTTTGTACTTCGAGAAAATGAGAGTAACATTAAAGGGGACCTATCATGCAAAATGCACTTTTGTACGTCTTTTATACATGAGTATGTGTCCCCGGTGTTCCAGGGAACTCACCAAGTGTCAGAAAACACAACCCTCTCTATTTTCCTCCATACCCAAATCTCTAAAAAAGGGGCTGCAACGGATCTGATAAAAACTGATCCAGATTTGAACACTGTCCTGACGTCAGGACGGTGGCGCTACGGCTATTGGGCCAACTCCACCAATCAGGAGGAGACAGCCACGGCCATTGCCGTTCGAAAGCGCTGGAGACGCTGTAGTACATATGCCAGGCCAGTAGATGGTGATGTTCTCACTGAATCAGCCCTTGCAGAGCAGAGCTAAAAAAAAGTGCAAATTGAGCGAAATGAGGCATGGCTAAAATGCATGATCTGTTTGGTATTTTGAAAACAGAAACGTATAAATATACCTTATATAGGTATGGCACTACAATATATCATTTAAATATACCATGATAGGTCAACTTTAAATTAACAGTGTGATTAAATACATGCTTTTTAAATGTCCGGTGATTGCAAAAAACATCAGTACACTTGTGTTGCAGGCAAACTGACCTGTTTCCAATTTATAAATCAAGTACAAATTGTGAATAATGTCAGTTTTAGAGGTTAATCCTCAGTTTCAAGGAGATACATGACTTCCCCCTGTTAGCTGAATAATGGCTAGGAAAGGTTTTGATCAACAACACAGGTTTTTGTGAAGGTCTTCTATGCAGATAATGGTATTGGTCAATATATTATATACATTATTACATGTTTGCCACCACTGTAATATTCATTAATATTTTTTTATATGAAATAAAGGTATGTTTGACTCCATTCATATGCAGATAGCTGGTAAAACTTAATGAGACAAATGAATCTAAATGACATACATTTCGGGATAAGCCATGGCCATACATTTTAATGTCTGTTGTATTTTTTAGGAATCATTCAATCATGAGGCAATTGCAACTTTGAAATAGCTGTATTGTGTTTGAAGAGGTTTCATGGTAAATAAATCTAACAATGTATACAGGTTTCTGTGTAGGTGTAACAAGTCAAATGTCTTTTCCATCACTTGGTAAAACGCGGGTGTTTTTCAGCACATCTGTTCCAGTGTCATGCAGACGCAATGATTTTTTTTTTTTTTACATTCAGCGATCTCATTATTTACGCATCCCTGCCAATTTTATGTCAATAGAGTGACCTAGTTTTGTGAGAACTGTTGCATGTTTGTGTGTTTTTAGATGTCATTTGTTGTCACTTTTTTTTAAAGAACTGTATTGTTGTAACACAGGGCTATTCAATTAGTTTGGAATGGGGCCGGTTGATGAAAATGATCCAAAGCAAGGGGCCGGGAAAAAGATGGCTTGAAATATGAGCAATCATATTTAAGAGCTTCAGATACAGTAAATACTACAACAGCATAGTGGAGTGCATATATTGCGTTTAATTCAATCAAACAACATAGCCCCAAGGCCTTTATAGATCTAAATGGCAAGTTCAGAACTCAGTAGGCCTACATGTTTCATTTGATTTCATTTAGGTGAAATGATCTAATCATTCACGCAGAGATGCAATCAATGACAGGAGTTGTCACTACAGTATAGTAGGTGGGTTCGAAACCCGAGCCCGTCGAAGTTTTCAGGCATTGTCTACCCCTCTATCTCTCAATGTAACACCCTTTCTGGAATAAAGGCACTATGGCACAAAAAAAAAAAAAAAAAAAAAATCTTAAAAAAAAAAAATTGATGACTTTTATACATTATACTCAAAGGGCCAGTAAATATCACCCCGGGGCCGGATTTGGCCCGCGGGCCGCCAATTGAATAGCCCTGTTGTAACACATTCCTTGATTTGCATAGAGAGGTCCACATTGTTTTCACTTTTGTATGCAATATCTTCTGTGAAAGATTATTCTGATAAAGACATATCTGTTCAAATCTACTGGTGTGAAGACACGCAGATGGTACACTTTATTTTTGTATTTCCCTGAGGTCATGCAGTGTATTCATCACAAAAATAAACCACTCAATTTCCTGAGGTCTGTGAATTTTATTTTTGACATGAACACATTAAGTTGGTTTTAAAACAATATGAAAAAGTGTGAAACCAATTGGAGAAAAAAACAGCTGTTATCGGTATTAGTATTCCAGACCGTTGTGTGGTGAGTTGCAGCGGAGGAAGCAGTTCTTTTGGCTATTCTATAAACTCACCTGCTGCTTCCACCCATTCACAGCCAGCAGCATTTGTCAAACAGATAAGAGCCTTCAAAGGAAGCCAGCTTTCCTGCCAGAGTGGACAAACCTACCAGCCACAGACAGAATGTTAACAGCATTTGGCGCATGGCTGCTTATAAAGTCCTACTGAGGTTTGATGTAAAGAGCAGCGCCACCCTGTGGACTATTTGCTCCACTGGACCGCCTCTGGTTTAGCAACTTGATGGTTGAGAGCTTCAAACTCCTCATCGGGCTTCAGGTCTGGACCGGGAATCAGGATAGTCTGGAAGAGAAAGAGGAGCAGATGAGCATCAGTTATCATTATCTTTGACTCAAATAAGACACATGATGATATGCGGCATCATTCTCATAAATACCTGTTTAAAGTCTTGTTTAAATTAGATGTGCCTTTCTGCAGTTTTAAATATAGAAAACTTTTTTCCACTTTGGTACAGAAGGTTAATTCCTCTCAGAACAACATATGGCATTATACAAAGTATGGTACTTAAAAAATGTGTTATAGTATTAAGTGTTGATTTCAATATCTTCTACTAATATAAGACTTGATGATATGCGTTTTCATTCTTATTCCACATTCTTATTTAACAAATATGGGTCGCAAAGTATTTATGAGAGTCTTATTTGAGTAGAAATTGAAATCGATACATAACAAATATCCCAGATCTATCCCATACTTCATATAATGCCAAATGTTCTTAAGGGGAAGTAACCTTCTGTACCAAAGAAGAAAAACAGATTGCTATATTTAAAATTGCAGAAAGGCACTGGTAAAGATATTATTTAAACAACTACAACACTCCTTGTCGTTTTATATCACTATGGATGGTTTTCCGAATAAAAGGGTATTTGCTATTTACCTTTAAAATCGTTACGAACTAAATTAACAATTACAGCAAAGAGCAACTGTGAATCAGAAGATCTTTAGTGCCATGTACAAAGGCAGGTTTCTCTCCATGCAGTTTAAACTGGAAGCAAATTAATAAAAGCAGTGATGAAAAGAATTATAAAAAACAGTAATAAGAGCAAATAAAATACACAAATAGAAAGCACTAGTTAAATACAATTTCCAATTATACAGAGAAGTTTCAAAGTTTACAGATTCTGTGTAAAAATCTGCATTTCATTGCCGTTTAATTTCATGGACTACAGCTGATGGAGGTGCCAGGTGGCCTAAAAATAACCACAAATATTAATCCAATCCTCCGAGGTCTGGTGCATTAGGCATGGAGAAAAAATAAGAATATTTAAGAAATTCTCCATGTAATTATCAGACACTTCTGGTAACGACACTAGATAAACAATAGTCCAAGGTCAATATGTATTTTTTTTTTTTTTTTTTTTAACACCTCCACCCAGCATTAAACAACATTTAACTAACCACATCTGTTCTGAATATGAATCATTTTTGGACATGCAGGGATGTGACGGTGTGGCTCGGTCCTTTACACATGAATCACGGTTGCGCTGACTTTAAAGTCTCCTCAAAATCAAACAGTGAGCGAGAGAAAAAAGATGCACAGAGCGCTGTTTTGATTCCCAGCGAGTTAGTGCTTGTTGTCTGCGTCAGTCTCCAAGACATACTGGAATAGGACTTGACTTGCCTAATGCGCATCACGGCAAAATGTAGATTATAATCACCCTAACTCTGTGAGTCAGGCCCTGCTGCGTCTCAGAGAAATATGACAGATGGTGCAGTTCATGTTGCCTGGAAGGTGTTTCTTAATAATCTAAAAAAGCTTCACCATCAGTGCTCTGCAACAGTCTCTGCAAAATACGCATATTTGTTCAAAAATGAACATTGTGTTGTGAAGGTCATTTGAAAATAGAGTAGATGGAGTGTGTGGGAGAGAAACAAAAACCTATAAAACAAACTACAGGTAAGGAAAAACCCCAAAAAGCAAAAAAGGCCCTCTTTAAAGTCTCCTGTAATACACAGTAGGGGGTCCAGGCAGTTTATTAAACCTGAAGCAGTATTTGAACTGTAACCAATAAGCCTCTATTTTAGATGGTGAAGCAACAAATGTATACAAAAGAATATTCATCAAGAAAGGGCAGAGTCCTTTACTGTAAAATAGGAAAAGTCTGCTCAAAACTCACATTCACCGGGTCATTAAAGTGATGTATGGACCGGCCAGTTCATTAACTTAATGTTCGATTGACAGAAACTGTGCCTTGTTCTTGAATTAAAGGTCCCCTATTATCCTGTTCTTCATCAATATATTATAGGTCTCAGATATATACAGAGCCTGTCTCTGATTGGCTGAAACACCAAACAGATCATTGCAGCATCCCCATAATCCCCTCTGTTTCAGCCCTGTTTCAAAAGTGCTGATTCTCTGTCTGTTACTTTAGAAGAAAATAAGGAGCCCCTCCCCACACCCCTCTGAGAGATATTTGGTTAAAAAGAACACATTGGTGCTCTAGGAGGAGATTCAGGTGATAAGGTGGGGGGGGGGTTACCTTGGTTGCTGATTGGCTAATGGTTACACAAGACAAAACATCGTTATGACATCGATGTCACAAAGTGGCCAAAATCTGATCAGCTCATTTTCAGACAGGTTTTTATATAAATGGATCAAAAAGAGAGAGAATCTTTGTTCCTGAAACTTTCAGAGTCTCTTTACACAGAGGGGACACATGTTGATGTAGAAGAGACATGAAGAAGAGGGGACACATGTTGATGTAGAAGAGACATGAGAAGAGGGGACACATGTTGATGTAGAAGAGACATGAAGAAGAGGGGACACATGTTGATGTAGAAGAGACATGAAGAGAGGGGACACATGTTGATGTAGAAAGAGACATGAAGAAGAGGGGACACATGTTGATGTAGAAGAGACATGAAGAAGAGGGGACACATGTTGATGTAGAAGAGACATGAAGAAGAGGGGACACATGTTGATGTAGAAGAGACATGAAGAAGAGGGGACACATGTTGATGTAGAAGAGACATGAAGAAGAGGGGACACATGTTGATGTAGAAGGACATGGAAGAAGAGGGGACACATGTTGATGAAGAAAGAGACATGAAGAAGAGGGACACATGTTGATGTAGAAGAGACATGGAGAAGAGGGGACATAGTGTTGATGAAGAAGAGACATGAGAAGAGGGGACACATGTTGATGTAGAAGAGACATGGAAGAAGAGGGGACACATGTTGATGTCGAAGAGACATGAAGAAGAGGGGACACATGTTGATGTAGAAGAGACATGAAGAAGAGAGGGGACACATGTTGATGTAGAAGAGACATGGAGAAGAGGGGACACATGTTGATGAAGAAGAGACATGAAGAAGAGGGACACATGTTGATGTAGAAGAGACATGAAGAAGAGGGGACACATGTTGATGTAGAAGAGACATGAAGAAGAGGGGGGACACATGTTGATGTAGAAGAGACATGAAGAAGAGGGGACACATGTTGATGTAGAAGAGACATGAAGAAGAGGGGACACATGTTGATGTAGAAGAGACATGAAGAAGAGGGGACACATGTTGATGTAGAAGAGACATTTTGCATAATAGGTGACCTTTAAGAGATAATGTATTAGCGCGTGCAGTGCAGACGGTCACCTTAATGATGGGGTCTTTGGCCGGAGCCCAGGACGGGACTATTTTCCCGTGCAGCCTCCAGCAGCCGTAGGGGTTCATGAGGTGTCGCTCCATCACCAGGTACTCCAACACGTCCTTCGGCTGCTCCTCGCAGCCCATCATCAGACGCCCGAAGCGGTCGTAGATGGCCAGAGTCTGCGGGCAGGAAGACGAAAACAAGGTTTATACGGTCATTCAATCCGGATTGTAATCGAGTCTACTAAATCTATTGCTATTTTTTTTATTGTCATTGCAATATGGACATCTGCAAGAAGACTGCGGAATTGTACTGATCATAAAATAATGACGTTTTTCTTTTACCTTTGATTGTTTTTAATTCATCATGCTAATTGTTGGATTTTAGTAGACTTAAAGACACAGAAAGGCAGAAAGGAGTACACCATGATATCATTCTTTGAACGCATATTGCATATTTTTCTATTCAAGCCTAGTTGTTAGCATTGAAAAGATTTAGTTCCAAGCTCCTTCAACAGTACAACTTTGAAATATAATTAGTATACAAAAAGAAAAAGCTGAAAAAAAGTAGTGCAAGTGACATGACTGTTCAATTAAAATGCAGGAATAGATATACCAGAATGTAAATATTAGATGTTGTACAGTAGAATATTGTATATTGTAATAATATATTTAAATATGACCTATAAACAGATGTTAGTGATGACAGAGCTCAGGAGTTCAACAATAGCTTGAGTTGCCTATTATCGTGCAGCCCTTAATGTAATATGTTATTGGTTTAAACCTGGGTAGAAACCATAAAATAACTCTTAAAGGTCACCTATCATGCTATTTTTAGGCAATAGCATAGGTCTCAGATATATAAAAAAATATTAAAAAACATGTCTATGAAGAGTTTTGCTCAAAATACCAAACAGATCACCCATTCTAGCCATGCCTCATATCCCTCTATTTCACTTCCTGTTTCAAAAGTGCTGATTTGCACACATGCTCTCCAGTACAGGTTAGCTCTGAGTGTTAGCGATGCTAATGTAAACACCGACCATATTACGTCCAAAACAGTCGGGCATTGTTTCTGATAGCAACGTTTCTGATAGGGCCGTGGGTCCACATTTCAGATATTACGTCATATCGGACGCAAATCTGGATCAGCTCCGTTGTAGCCCCATTTTTAGAGATTTGGGTACGGAGGAAAAGAGAGAGGGTTTTATTTTCTGACGCTGCGTGAGTTCCCTGACACACCGGGGACACATATTTATGTATAAAAGACATCAAAAAGTGCATTTTGCATGATAGGTCCCCTTTAAATAAGCTTTCCTTGTAGTTGAATAACATAAAAAGATGTTTAGGTTTTCACTTTAATGCAGCACCTGTAAACTGGCTACTGTCATGCAATTTTATTTTAAAATGTACTAAAAAGTAGACTTGAGTTTTGGTAGCACATCGTTACGAAACACTGACAGAAGCTGTATGTATGAAACTATACAAAACAACAACACACATTTCGAGTAGAAGCTCTGCACACAAATAGCTATACTCGGATCCAGACTGGATTATATTAAATGATAGTCTTGTGGTCACAACTATTCTTATGGCATCAAAGAGGAAGACATTACAATTTCACATAAATTAACCCCAACACACTCATACATTTCTGACACTAAAAGAAAAGATGGGAGAAAAGTGCATCAAAAGCCAGGATACAAACACTGACGTCGACACAGACATGACGGCTGTAAATAGTTAACAGTGCTGCACTTCATGTGTTTAGTTGCATGCAAAAACTACAAAACTCAGTTAGCTACAGCCCTTTTGGGGCAGGTAACACACAAAAAAACTATTGTTCAGATTTCATTACATTCCAAAGTGGATCTCACCACAGTCTCAGATCAACATGCGGGTCGTACCTGTTTGCTGTGCATGCGGACGGTCACCTGGCCGTACAGGTTGCCCTTGGAGATCATGTCGGGGCAGCGAGCGTGGACCACCTTGGGCGGCTCCAGAGACTCCAAAAAACTCCAGCTGATCGTCTTGTAACGGTTCCCCCTCGTCATCTCCTGCACAGATTCAAGGATTCAAGGCTTTTAGTCAAAGTCAACTTTATTGTCAATCTCAAAATATGTTTGAACACACAGAAAGATTGAAATACTGTTTCCCACAGTCCCGAGGTATAAAAAAAACTCACATTAAAATGCAAGAACACTCTATAATTTACAAAATTATTATTATTATTGTCATGTGTGCATACAGTGTAGATATGACAATGAAAATCTGAGGTCACAGGCTCGTCCAACGGTGCAACACAATAACACAGATAATAGTGCAAGTCAATAAAATAAAATAGAATATAGTAGAAATATTGCAGTACAGTCTATATACAAGTAATTGGAATATTGATATATATAAGTTGCAAACAGAGGAATACAAACTCAATTAAAATGTGCGTTTGACTTTACTTCTATGTATTACTTTTGTTTATCTCTGTAAAGTGTCTTTGAACACCAGAGGCCTGTACTACGAAGCTGGATTTTCGCTTAGCCGGCTAAATTCAGGGAAATCTCGGGCTTTCCGGTCCTACGACGCTGGTTCTCTTTTTAGCAGGCTAGATCTCCATGGTAACTTATGCTGAGCGGCTAACCTCCTCCGGAGCAGGTTAGGTTGCAGGCTCAGAGATCAACTCAGTGAAAGCACCGCCTGCTGACCAATCAGAGCTCCGTGTGCGGAGTTTAAAGCTATCAAGTCATATTACAGGATAGAGGAAATACAGAAAAACTGCCGTTGCAGGAAAGACGGCCGGCAAAAATCAACTGACTGTGTGAACGTGAAAATGAATAGAATATCCCCTCCCATCTTCAGAGCAATCTGGCTATTATAATATTAGCGTTAAGAAAGCTTACTTAAATATCTGCCACAACATAAGTAACCGGATCAGAGTAACATTACGTACAGTCCGCGGCACTGTGAGTGCAGACGTCGATGTGTCCCATTATCATTCATATCATATCACATCATAATGTATCATATATTTCCTTGTTTGAGTCAGCTTCTTGAGCCGTATCTGGCCGTGCAACACTCACAGTGTCACATACTGTATGCAGAAGTATTATTTTAAGCAACACATTAAGTTGACGAAACACTCGAGTCAATTGTAATTAAAGTCAGATCGTGTCTTAGACGGGGCAGTGATAAACCTGTTAATGTACGCATTCAAACGCTTTTTCTTTTACCAGCTGTATTCACCTTGCAGGTGCAGCTATGTGGCTTTTATCCTGGATAAAGTGTTTAAGTCATGGATGTTTAAAGTTTAACTTCTTCATATTTGACTAATATTAAAGTTCACTTTTCATTCAGGAAGTATGACGCTGCGCTGTCAGTACGCTTGTCCATGTTTGAGATTGGTCGAATGCTCCAAATACCACCCCTTTCATGTGAACGCGCACCTAACTAGATAGGACACGGCTGGCTTGAGCGATCCACTTGATAACCAGCGTCGTAGTACAGCTTAGCGAGAGCGCGTATGTTTTGGATTGGGCCAACCGGCTAACTCCAACATATCCAGTTTAGGTTGAACCAGCTTCGTAGTACAGGCCTCAGGAGAAGCGCTTGATAAATAAATGCATTATTATTTAATGACACTTATGCATAACATTAATGGTGACATCTTTGAGTCCTTACTTATACATACGGTTAACCTTTGCTCATTCCTCTCACTATTTTGCACATTTCTCCACAATGCATTCACTTTAAAGTGGCACAGCTCAGGTGAAGAACTCCAGCAATGTTTAGAAGAACTACTTACAGGATAACACCTTTCTGTCAACAAGGAGTGAAGCTTCTCCTTGTTGAACCTGCAAAAGAAACAGCAGGGATAAATGTGCTGTTTTGTTTCAAACCAAGAACAACATGAAATGTAAAGAATGGATATTATAGTTGATAGACAAAAAAAAAAAGATGTAGTCCTCATCTCACAGTCTTCATGAAACAGTATTTTTTCTTTTCCTACAGTTTTTGTTTTCAGTTTTAAAATCAGACTGACTGTAAGATGCTGTTAAAAGCTTCAGAAAACACTTAGCAAATACTTTTTAGGGTCAAATATTAAATTAATACTGTAAATGACTTCTATAAAATGTTCTAACAATAACAGAAACAAAGTTGAAGAACTAATTGTATAAAAATACATTTTATAACACACTTAAAGGTGGGGTAGGTAAGTTTGAGAAACCGGCTCGAGATACACTTTTTGTTATATTCCATGGAATGCTCTTAACATCCCGATAGCAATGAATATCTTAAGTGCTTTGACAAAAAATCCATAAAAAAATGTCATCTGTGGAAGCCGTAGTACTGTAAAAAGCACGACCAATCATCTGAGCCGGCCCGGCTAAAATAACTGGATGGCCTACCTGCCTGTCAGCCTTCCATCTGTGCACAAACTTATCTCGTGCCCTCATTGGTCATGTGCGCGTTCGTGTGTGTTGGAGGAGGGGCTCTGTAAGGAAGTGGCAGATTTTCTCCGGTTGTGTATTTTCAAATTCTAGCGATCTCGAGCCGGTTTCTCAAACTTACCTACCCCACCTTTAATTGAATACTGAGCAAAATCACACTTCATTTTCTTTGTCTTCTATTTAAAATAAATGTTTAAATCCTAAAAGGTTTGATAAAATAGCTGGACTGCTCACTCACAGCTCTGTTAACTTAAGAACAGCCCTAAAATGGATAAAGACGTATCAGACGGTTTGATTCCAGATCACAGGCAACACGACTATTTTAGCGATAACTGTACATCAGGTCTGCACAGATGTTTCCTTAAATCAGCCAATTCATTTGCAGAGCAAGTACAACAACGCTAGTTTTTTAAGCTTTCCCACTTAGCATTAAGCTGAAGGCAGCATGAGTGGATTCCTCACTTCTATAACAAATGTCTCACTGTGATATTCAGCGTTCCTCCCTGACTGTGAGCTGATGTCAGAGACGTGAGAGACCTGAGAGACCTGAGATCCTTCTCTTACTGTGTCAGGGCGGTGTGGGCCTCAATGAAGATTTCCTGAGCCTGCTCTGCAAAAGACTTTGATGAGAACAGAGGGTCGTACTCTTTGATTTTACGAATCCTGTAAAAGAAAAGAAATATATTCAGCTTTCTCACATTGACCGTGTTTACAGTTTATCATCCCTAAGAATGTGATGAGGTGGTTCAAAGGCTCACAAAAGTAAATTCTTTAAAAAAGGTAAAAATACAGAGCGCTGGATGTCAGAGGAATCAGGAGAAGGAGACAGACAGGAAGTAAATACTAACGGGAACACGGTATGGGCTCTGGCCGTGTTTAAAAACTGGTTAAATAAAATGGACAGAAAACCTTGATCAGAGCTGCCTTCTTTTTAAGTTACGTTGTCGCCCATTTCCAACCGCCGGTAAACCGTGGAACACATTTTTTTTTCTAAGTGGAATCAATACAATAGTTTTTTAACAAATGAAATACTTTTTTGTGAATCAAGTTTGTTTATTTATTTATATGTATGTAGCCGTGTAATAAGCGTGGTGATGCTTCCTGTCGTACATCTAAAAAATGTTACATAAATGAGCGCCTCGCTGCACATTATCCACAGACAGGATGTAAATACTACCAGGAACACGGTGTGGGCTCTGGCCGTGTTTAAAGACTGGCTAAGTTAAAGGTGAACAGATTGGACAGGTTACATTATACCTTTACTTATATTATATCTTACAATTAGCACAATGTTCCATGATGTGTCATAACATTCGTTGTCAGCTCTTGAACTGAAACCATTTTGAAAAGCCCAAAAAAATAATTAGAATATATGATCAATGTGACAGGACTACTTTTCTACAAGAAAATCTGTGGTGGAGGGCAGCCCAACAACATCCAGGTATGTTTGATGATAAAAAACCTCAGTACAGGAACAACAGGAGAAGTTAGAAAACAATCTTACGCTAGCTGTGAGCCGGCGCCCTGTTTAATCCGTTCAGTTCGTTGCTTCAGGCCTTCTTTAGACAGAGAGGAGAGACGAGCGTCGCCCTCCGGAGGGATGTAGGGGTCAAAGACTCCCGCTGGGGAAGCAACAGACAGGGATTATCAATGAGGAGAGACATTAGAAAATACAGTGTTGTCGTCTGATTGATGATGATAGCTCCAGATTACCGGATTGTGGACAATACAAACAATCCTGTTTTTTTACATTTTAGGACAACTGTACAGACGACAATACACAACTTTCTTTAGCTAGGAGTTTGTGTGCCAATTACAAGAACAATACGTGTTTTTGTTACATCTGATTAACATCCTTGTTAAGGAAATTCCTGTTTTACATCAAACTAAAATCAAGCTTTTCTTCTCGTCCCATCACAAGCAACTCATATCTTTTAGTGATTCAAATAAGATATCTAAAACACAATGAAAGATATTAAAAGAGTCAAAAGGTACCACAATTATAATTTAAATGAGAAGAAGTCAGATAAGATAACATGTAGGAAATAATTTAAACTTGACGGGACATTTAATACTTTTGCTATAAATGCATTTTGGTACTAATCATATACTACTGTGTTGTGTTGAATATATATACTAAAAACTCCTAAAAGCCTTTGCAGTCTTTACATTCAACGATAAGAAACTAGAACAGTAACGCTACCTCAACAAATGTATTTAAATTCAATCAAGAATGGTGAAAAAACGTCTTATTACAAGTGGAGGCGATGTTGATGGGCCTCTCAAAGTACTGCTGTCTGCGGACAACGCCGGCTTTTCGGGCCCTGTCCGCGTTGTCAACATCTTTCAACCCTTTCATCCCTTTCACCCCCACCGGCGGAGGGACGAAGTAACGCTTCTTAGTCCGGACCGGCAGGTACAGAGGGAGCGGGTGCCGAAGGTCCATAGACGCCTCGGCATTCTGAGAGAGAAACAGATACGGTGAGTTAGTTCTTTATTTATCCTGAGAGAAAACAAATACTTTAATAAGATGCACAAACAAAGATGAACAATGCTATAAATGTACACAGTAAGATGCAAATTCAATATCTATATATACAGAAACGTGTATTGTTTAACCACACCATTTTTGTTATACTAATTAATCAATCTGCACCCAATGGCCACTTTATTAGGTACACCTGACCCTTATAATTGTATACAACTAAACAGCTCTGCCATTAAATCTACTTCATGATCATTTCGATTTATTTCATGAAATGCTTTTTTTTAATGCAATAAATTACTTATTCAAATAGTTTGCAATTCATGTTTTGATTAACAGTTTCAGCTGTACTTAGTAACTAAGTAGTCAAAGCTGTCAGACAAATGTAGCGGTGTAAAAAGTACAATATTTGTCTCTGAGATTAAGTGGAGTTGAAGTGTAAAGTAGCATCAAATAGAAATACTTAAGCAACGTACAGGTAGATTAATAGTATTTAATTTAGTATACCTATATTACACCTATGTGCAAAAGTAATAACCTCTACACGTTGTCTGAAGATAATTATACTTTATGTTTGAGGTCAGTTTTTAATTAATTTTCCACAACATGTACAAATAATGCAGTCAAGTACATAAACAACTCTGAAATAGCACTAAGGTTAAGAACATAGGGTAGAAAATCACATGTTTAACTTCCTAACAGTCTAATAGGTGTTCACTAACAACACAGAGTATTAGTATTGTATCTGTTCCTAACATTTAATCTGTTTTTGTTTTTATTTCCTGGTGAAATTATCCTTTTATGTAAAGACAGTTAGCTTTAGCTTAGCTAGCCCTAATCAGGACTCTGCAAATTGCGACGTTTTCACAACAAGCTCAACAAACGAGATGCTAAGAACAACAAACTGAGTGTCTCTATTTATTAAACAAAAGTGTTATTAAATGCCTCATTACCATTAAACTGCTACATGTTGCCCTGTGAAGAGCAACCAGCGTCCTCCTCATGGGCGTCGCCATCTTGACAACAGTCTGCCACAAAAGACGACTTCCGGTTTATTAGCGCGAGCTCTATGGACATTTACAACGAGAATAAATAGTTGTTTGAACATACATACAGCATGTTATCTTTAATATTATACTACCAAAAATGTGGCATTACATAAAAAATGTGTTATTACAAACATTCATGTTATGTGCTTTTGTATATCTGCAGTGATAACAAAAACAAGGATACTCCCTTTAGACCATACAAATATCTATTATAATCAATATTCAGTTTGTATCTTCTAAATTTGACCTGTTAAATATAGTATACTGTTGAAAGGAACTAAGTTTGTTGTTGCTACAGTATTTGTCACAAAATGTAACATTCAGATTAAAGTTTACATTATCATTGGATACTTGGGTTGAACATTTTAACTACAGTACTGTGCACCTGTATTTGTGCAATTTTGAAGGGTAATGTGATTCTGCTGTTAATGCAAAATGCATTTTTGCATTGAAAGTGTTTAGAGCTATATACAAATATATGAGATATTTCAATATATAGATATGTTAACTGTTTATGTTAACTTTCTGTTTTATTTGATTTGAATTCATGTACAATGCCTTGTTTACATGCTGCTTTGACAAAAAAATATCCAAAATGGTGATCAATACAGTAAATGTAATTGAATCTATTCTAATCTAGTCTAAACCCTTTTCCTCAAAAAAGGAAAAACATTTTTAAGCACTTATTTTTCATTATATTATACCCACCAATATAAATATTTTCCACACAATCGTTCCAATAAAAATGCAGCATCATAGTTTTGCAGAAATATAAAGACAATTGGTAGACATGATTAAAATAATATCTATCTATCTATGGTGCGTAAAGCACGTACGCTGACACGACGTGCTGACGCCGAGTGTCTGTAGGTCGACGCTGTTTAACTTGAGTTGTTTGGGCTGAGAGGAGAGAGGTTTCAGTTGATGTTGCTTCTCCTGGGCCGCAGGGTTCCGCTGTCACTCTACAGACTCACTACCGGCTGTCCTGCATCCTCACTGCCGAGCTCCGTTCTGATCTGCACTAATAAAACTCACAGCGATAACAAGAGTTACACACAGCACCGTCTTCGTTAGCGGCCAAAATACAGGAACCATGCCCGAAAGGAGGCCCTTCGTGCGGTTACCAGCTGACGTTTACCCCGTCAACTATGGCTTGTGTCTGAAGCCGGACCTGATCGACTTCACCTTTGAAGGCAAACTGGAGGCGGTGGTGGAGGTAAGTTGACCCCGAGCGTCTGGCTTCTTACATGGATGGATTTGTTTGTGTGAGGATCTTGTTATGTAATATGACCAGCTAACGTTAACAGAAGCGAGCTAATGTGCTGTCTTCGAGCAATAACGGGCAAACGGTTAGCCGTTAGCATCAGTAGTAGCTTAGCGTAACGTTAGCCGTTAGCTTGTGTTAGCTGGCAGTTGCTAAACTAGCTAACCGTTTATTGGCAGGCTCAAGGTGGCTGAATGAGAGCAATGAATGGTGAAAAATAACGTCTCGATATGTTTGCCAGAAGCTAATTGAAGCTAGCTAGCACAACAGTCCCAGGCAGACTTGCACTCTCATGTTAGCTAACGTTTAGCATGCTAACAAGCGCTTTGCAGTGCGCTTAATGTGTTTCAGGGTCAGTTTGTTGTTCGCCAGGAATGTTAACCCCTTGTTACACCAATGCATTGCTCTAAATCAGGATCGGTTTATCTGCCATCATTTTTTAAGTTGTTTACTAGCCTACTAGCATCTAGCTAACGCTCAATAATGTTTGCTAAATCATGGCAACATGATGTAGCCCCCTCCCACCAGAGGTGGGAGAACTACTCAGATCTTGTGAGTAAAAGTACCAGAGGGTAGGAATACTTTTTCAAATTACTGCATTCAAAAATGTTACTAAAGTAAAAGTACAAAAGTATTAGCATCAAAATATACTTAAAGTACCAAAAGTCAAAGTAGTCATTCTGCAGATTGGCAGAATAATATATATGATACGAATTGATTATAATTATTGATGCATTATAGCTGGTAAAGGTGCAGCTAGTTTTAATGACTTTGGATACTGCAGGGTAGCATGTGAATTTTAATTCAGATATAACTGAAGTATTATTTAAGTGTTGAATATAATTCAAATTGCTATAATACCACAATGTTTGTAGTGTCCAAAATCGCAAAAAAGGCAACTTCTTATGAGCGCAGACAAACATCCCTGTTTTTGGCTTTGTTTTAATGCGTTTTTTAAATCAGCCAACCGTTAATGTTGGTGAAGTAGTTTTTTTTTAACGTATAAAGAAACACTTTATCCTTCAAATGTTCACAACCATTCAAATTCAAAACATCTGAAGACACATAGTCACAAATATATAATTTGAAAAGTGAATAAAGCTGTCAAGTAAAAGTGATGAAGATAATGGTACAACACTTGCCTTTGTTTGAAATGTATAAAGTCGCATGTAGTACTTCAAATGTATATTTAATTACAGCACATTAGTTAATGTACGTAACTATCTGCAAATAGTGAGTTTGCCTGATTAGCTATTTTTAAAGCAGCAAAATCTATTCTTTACACAGTCTTGACAGTAAATGTAAGGAATGCACACTGTTCGTTTGCTTTCAGTTGACTCAAGGTAATAGGTTAGTGAATCACTTGGGTTCCCGTTGGATTGTTGCAAAAGTGCATGTAGATGGTAGCTACTGTGTAACTAACAGATAAAACAAACATGACAGCTCACTTTGCATTTATTTCAGCGATAGAGATTGTGCTTAAAGTCTGTAAATTGCCTCATTGTTCGGCTACTGGCACCTGTCAGCAGGGCGTCGTAACACCTGCCTTTAACACGCCTGGCTGTAGTCACTCACTCTGCACACATTATCAGATCAGTCAACGCGCAGCACTGCATTTGATATGGTCTACATGTGCTTGCTCAAATAAGTATTTCTTTGTGTACACCAAATGATAAACAACTCAACATTAAAAAAAGAAATATCATTGAATAGCTACAGTAACACTAATCCCAAGTAACATGAGCCACATTTGAAATGCAAAGCAGAAAAACAAATGCAATAATGTTTTGCCTGACCAACAGTCAATAACCTACAGATAAACAGTTTCAGATTATATAAAATAAATCAGCTGTAAATCCTTAAATGTGAAAAGCTTACTTTATTAAAAAAGTACATTTTTATTTATCACAACGGTTAATGATTAGTTTTCTGTTGACTGAGCTATTGTTTTAGCAATAAACTAATAAAAGTTGGCACTGGATGTTTTTGAGAAGCAAACAAAGGGATGAGGACGTTTTTATTTAAATTGTTTTATCAGTAGCAAGAATCTTATCTTCACCAGTATATGTATACGAGTGATCATATGCTAAATAAAAAACATTAGGGCAGGACATATTCAAACATATTAGACAAACCGTAATAATTAAAACATCAACGTTTCACAAAAACATCAAATTTTGAATCGATTCAAACATTATGTCCTTATGTTGATCACTAAAATGCATGTTCTCAAGTCTTATTGTTGAGTCATCCTGAAGGTTTCTTAATCCTGTGATTGCTAAAAGTTAAAAACTGTCGCCCACAGTTTGGTTTAGTAACAACCTGATTACCTGCTGTTTGCACAAAGTCTGTGTAAAATACAATAGAGCGGAAGAATCTCTAAAACGTGGCACTCAGCCATTTGCCCGGCATGTTTTATAATTACTGCCCCGCTGTGTCGGCCTCAAAGCGTCTCAAACAACAGCAGCAGTGCCACAAACCGTGAATGTCACTCTGACAAACTGCTAAACGGCATCGCTTCCACGGAGTTTCCCCCTCAATAATCTGTGCAGTCGCATCCACTGTTTTCACATCACAAGGTAGAAGCCCCATAGTCTGCCTTCCTCTCTTTGTTTTCATCACTTTCTCTCCTTTTCAAACCCGACTGAGTCTTCTTTGTGACCACTGTAGCCCTTTAGCCTCTGTAGGTTTAGTGCTCAGTAAGTCGATGTGTGCCTTTCTCTGCTTACTAGTGTTTCATGTTGATAAACCAAATACATTTTAATCTAGTCAAACAAAACCATGCTCCTTTACATACTGAGGTGATGCTTACATTGGACCTTAGCCCTTCTTTTCCTTAAACCTAATGAAGTGTAGTGTGTTTGCACAGGTGCTGGCAATCCTCATAAACACCTTTTTTATTTAACTGTGGAGTTTTAAAAGTGTTTTTTTTAATTCACGAAACAGCTTTCAAGTTGTGTCTGCTCTGCTTTCATAATAAATAGATGTATCTTTCCAATGTGGCTTCAAAGTGCTGAATCAGCTTGAATTACACCTTTTTTTTTTATTGTGTGAATTTGACTTTGGAAAAGGTGTAAAAAGGAATCTTCCCAAGCAGTTTGGGATTTGAAATAATGCCACAGCAGAGATGTTCAAAGTATACATTATGCTGTTCTATGTCAATATTTACAGGTTACTCAAGCCACAAATCAGATTGTGATGAACTGCGCTGACATCGACATCATTACAGCTTCCTTTGCACCGCAGGGAGGAGAAGGTGAGGCTCAGACTTTCTCCCTCTTATGTTCTTAACCGACACCATTGTCATACATAAAAACGTTAATCGAAAAGGAATATTCCATGGTCTTTTTCTTCTTCTCTTTTAGAAATTAATGGCAACCGGATTCAACTATCAAAACGAGGATGAGAAAGTCACCCTGTCATTCCCTAGCGCTTTACAGAAAGGTAAGACGTGACTCCACTTGTCACCTGCTTTTGTATCATCATTCTTTCATTAATGCAATGTTTCCTTCCCCCCCCCCCCCCCCCCCCCCCCCCCCCCCCCCAGGCGCCGGCACGTTGAAGGTAGACTTCGTCGGCGAGCTGAACGACAAAATGAAGGGATTCTATAGAAGTAAATATTCAAACGCTGCAGGAGAGAGCCGCTATGCTGCTGTCACACAGTTTGAGGTAAGCTGAAAACCAAAAGGCAATGGGATGTTTTCTCTTTTTGGGAAAGTTGCTTAACCCACTACTCGCCTGTGTTGCAACATAGGAGCGTGTGATGGTGAAATGACTAATGTTCCAGAACTTTCCTAGAGATCAGGAGATGTCTCAAATTATATTCTATTTATACTAGGGCTGCACCATTTGGTAAAAACTTATTGCATGAAATTGCTTTGAGATATGGTATTTTTATTGAGGGGAGTTTATCATTCTACATTTTTATACATTATACCCATCAACATTTAAAAAAAAAAGTGAATTCAAATGATCTGGATCTGTACCAAAACAAAAGAAGCATTGAGTCTATAGTTAACAATTTGCTGGCTCTAACATCTCTGCAGTTAATTAAACCTTTAACACATATTGTGCTTTCTCCAATTTGAGTATTGCACTAGTCAGTTTGTAAATGTTGATTGAATGTGCAGCCCTAATTTGTACATATGGTTAAAAGATGCAACTGTGTGTTGACATGCATTTCTGGCAAAGTTGAGTGAAAGCCATTGACTGCTGATTGCTGGGCTTTTATTGAAACCTGCAGAATATCCAGAGAACATCACAGGTGTTATACCCGAGTCAGTGCACACTGTGAGGGAAAGCTATGACAGAGGGTCTCCCGTTAGTCATATCCATGTTTATAAAGTTGTGTCCAGAAGTTGTTGTTTCCATTTATCCTCCCGACACGGACTTGACTTGGTCTGAAAAGAAAGTGAAACTAAACTCAAAAGGAGCTGCCTTTTTCTTGTAGTTGTTTACTCATTTTAGAAAATACAGTGGCAGGTTATTACCTTAACACATATAGTGTGGTTCCACTGACAGTGGCTCAAAGGCGGAAGAATGCCTACAATTTAGTGGTAGGAAGTGTTGCCTGACTTTTATTGTGTTACACTCGATTGTGCACACAAGCGGAAAAAAGGAAGGCATGTGAAGAATAAAAGAAGACCGAGAAGCCCAAACACAAACTACCTCAAGCCTTACTTAATAAGTACACACTTGGCCAGTTACTGCTTGAAGTGGGCGTGCTTGTTGGTTTGGATAAGATATTATTATTAGAGGGAGCCTCCACCCCAATTCCAACAAGAGTGTTCAAGCGGTATTTGACAATGAGGGTTCCGCAAAACAGTGAGATAAATCTTATTCAGAGTAACCTCTCACCGCAATTGTTGTGTAGTTGCTTGTTCCCATTTTGTTATTAAATACAGACTGATATTGTAGAATACACACAGGAAGAAGCTTTAGTGACTTGCATTGACCGGTCACCAGCAACACCAGTAGGTTAAAACTGAAATCCCCCTTGTGGGATTAATAAAGTATTATATATTATTATTCTTCTTGACACTTGCGTTGAGGGAG